GCAGCGTGTCGTCGAAGTCCGCTTTAGAAGTCTCCTGATTTATGTGCTTGCGCCATTCTTCTCCTTTTAAAATGTTCTGATTTTCAAACATGAATTAGGGAACATTCTCGTAAAATTTCGGCTTTCTAATTTCACTGATTCCCGAAATCTCATTTCGTCAAAAATGTCTTTGGCGTGTTCACATACGGAAAGTAAGTGTGCGTCAAAATAAAATTTTAATTTTTTGTGTCACATTTGCGCACTGAACAGAACTTCCTTTCTTATCTGGTTTTCGAAATTGTTTGGCAGGGATACTTTTTCATTTCAGCTTGTACGCATTTGTGCATTAGATACAAGTGCACGTGAGGTTTCACTTTGCGTTTGCAGGGTCGCATATGAATCTAAACCATCCTTGTAAAATTTCGACTTCCTAGCTTTGCAGATGTATGTTTGTATGCGTATTTGTGTGCGCTCGTAAAAATTCCGATCAGATAGAAATATGCACCCAGATAGCCTTCTGACAGTATACATTTTTGCATTTCTTCAGTGATACAGAAACACATAAAATAGATAAACATTTAGCCGAAAAAGAAATGCCAGGCTTGGCTGAAAGGAAAAAAGTTAGTGCAGAAGAGCTAAAATTGGTGTGAAAACATAAAATTAAACAACAAAAAAGGAAGAAATTGTGTAGATGGGTGTTTTTCGAGCCAGAAGATACGTTTTGCCTAAATACGCCATTCTAGTGATGAGCTGCATTCCAGTGGTGTTGCACTGAGCTTGAAGCGTCTTTTTCGCCCGATGTTGATTAAATTAAGCATAAATCGAGGATACCTACCAAATTTGGTATGGTACAAGTTTTAATTCGCACTTCTGGGTCGCACAAAAGGCCCTGAACATGAAAGTAAATTTCCATACCTCTACCCCGGTCTCTGAGCTAAAATTGAAAATCCGGTGGATAGAACGGACTTGGTGGCGAACTTGAAATTTCACCACTTAGCTCGCCAAATAGTGCGGTTTGAATAGGGTGGTTTCCGGTTCTGGCTTCCATATTTCTTGTCTTAACATGAAACCTAATTTTAGTTTGGTGTTGCGAATTCGGTTACAAGGAACTGGGTAGAACGGAAGCTCCAGTTTTTGGTGGCTTAATTTCTGACATTGTTAACTAAGTTCTAGATTTTTTTTTT